AGTACTTCACCAAGCTAGATTTGAGAAGCGGCTACAATCAAATTCGAATTGCAGATGAAGATGTTCACAAGACAGCTTTTCGTACTAGGTATGGACACTTTGAGTATCTGGTGATGCCTTTTGGTCTCACTAATGCACCAGCTACATTCATGGGATTGATGAACGATATCTTTCGCCCTTATCTAGATAAATCTGTCATTGTTTTTCTAGATGATATATTGGTGTATAGCAAAACTTTGAGTGATCATAGAAGTCATTTACGAGAGGTAATTCAAGTTTTAAGAGACAATCAATTGTATGCCAAAGCTTCAAAATGTGAATTTGGCAAGTCAGAAGTAGATTACTTGGGTCATAGAGTTACAGCTACAGGAATCCAAGTGATGAGTGAGAAGATAGATGCCATTCAGAAATGAATAGCACCTGAGGATCAAACTCAATTGAAGAGTTTTCTAGGGCTCACTGGATTCTATCGTAGATTTGTGAAAGGTTTTGCTCGACTAGCTCAGGCCTTGACTTCCATGTTAGGGAAAGGTCAGAAGTGGAGATGGGGAACAGCTCAAGAGTTAGCTTTTCAAGCATTGAAAGATGCTTTGTTACACGCACCTATTCTCAAGTGGTATGATCCTAACCGTTCTATCAAGTTGGCCACTGACGCATCAGGTACAACAGTAGGTGGCATACTTCAACAAGAATGGGAGGATGGATGGCATCCAGTTGCTTTCTATTCTCGAAAGTTGGTGGCGGCGAAACAAAATTATCACACGACAAAACGGGAGGAGTTAGCTATCGTGTTGGCAACCAAACATTGGAAGCATTATTTGGGTGATAAGGAGTTTGTGGTGGAGACTGATCATAAATCCTTGGTTTATTTGGAAACTCAGAAGAATCTGTCCAAACGACAAATTCGATGGGCAGAGTGGCGTCAACGCTTCAACATGAAGATTGTGTACGTGGAGGGAAAGAAGCAACTTGCAGATGCTCTCACACGCATGCCTTGTTTGAATCATGTTGCAGAAGTGAAAATTCAGGCGGATTGGTGGAGCAAGATGTCACAAGCCACAAAGGAGGATGAAGAGATCACTCGAGCACTACAAACTGGAAAGGCAGAGAAATCTCGAGGTTTGGCGTTTTACAATCAGCGTATATGGATTCCACAATATCACGATCTGCGCACAATGATTTTGGCAGAAAGTCATGATACAGCCATTGCAGGTCATGTGAGAGTGGAGAAAACCGTGGAGAGTATACAACGAGTGTACTATTGGCCCAAAATACGTGAGGATGTGGAGTCTTACGTTCGAAGTTGTGTTGCTTGTCAACAAAACAAGGCAAGTAATCAAAAACCAGCGGGTTTATTACAACCTCTTCCTATTCCCGAACAGCGGTGGGAACATGTCACCATGGATCTTGTATGTGAGTTACCAAGGACTTCGTTAGGACATGATTCAGTGGTGGTTTTTGTGGACAAATTGAGCAAGATGATTCACATCAGGCCAACCACAAAAACAGTAACAGCTCCACAACTAGCTCAATTGTATCTAGATGCAGTTTTTGTGAATCATGGCTTAAGCAAAGTGTTAATCACGGATAGAGGTACTCACTTCACTAGTTTATTTTGGAAAACTTTGTTTAGTTTTTTCAAAACAAAACTAGCAATGTCAACGGCCTATCACCCTCAAACTGATGGACAAACTGAGAGGGCAAATAGAACTATAGAGGATATGCTACGAGCATTCACATTAGAAGAGCAAGAAGAGTGGGACAACCTTTTGCCACTTGTGGAATTTGCATATAACAATTCTGTTAATGCATCCACAAAAGTGTCTCCATTTTTTCTTATGTATGGAGCTCATCCGATAACTCCTTCAAGTTTGATGAGACTTCCGAAAGGAGAGGAGTTTTTGACCAAAGTTGCAGCAGTCAACGAATTCGTGGAGCATATTCACCGAGGACTACATCAGGCCAAGGAGAAGTTGGTGATAGCTCAAAATCGGCAAAAGCAGCATGCCGATGCTCATCGTAGAGAAGTGATTTTTGAGGTTGGAGATCATGTTTGGTTATCTACAACGAATTTGTCTCTTGTAGGAACACCAAAGTTAAACCCTAGGTTCATTGGTCCATTTTTGGTTTTGAAGCGTGTTGGTGAAGTGTCATACAAGTTGGAACTTCCGTCACATATGAAAATACATCCAGTATTTCATGTGTCACGATTGCAAAAACATGTACCACGACCAAAACAATTCACCAACCAACCAGCACCACCTCCTCTTCCAACCTTGATAGCAGATAATGAGGAGTTTGAGTTAGAAAAGATACTCAAGAAACGTATTCGAGGTCATAAATATCCCAAAGTAGAGTATTTGATTCAATGGAAAGACTATCCATCGTATGAATCAACTTGGGAACCAGCTAAAAATTTAGCAAATGCACCTTTGATAGTTCAGTAGTTTGAACGTATGTGCAACGAGTACGTTGCATCTTAAAAGGAGGGAGGTTTGTAACCATTTTTAGTTAGTTAGAACTAAAGTAGAGGTTACTCTGAATATTGATGTAGATACTTTAGTGTGCACTAGTCATAGCTGCCACATCAGCGATCCGCGCACTTGGTAGGTACAGAGTGGATGTGTTAGTTGACAGTGCCACGTCAGCAATCCGTGTGCTTGTAGGTAAGGATTGAGTGTGTTAGTTAGTGTGTTAGTTGCGTGCGCCACGTCAGCGATCCGTGTGCTTGTTAGGGTTATCCGCCACGTCATCCATCCACTAGGAGTGGTATGGATGGTCGGGATTAGATCTTATCACCTTGTACTTGTTGGTGAGAGCTATATAAGGGAGAGGAGAACCATTGTTGGTATCACTCATCTTCAGAGTTTACGTTTCTATCTTCGAGTGAACTTCTCTCTAAACCCTATTGTTACATCAAGGGAGCTAAACCAAAATGTTAAACTCTTGATGTAAGTTGAAGCCAATGTGAGATCCGACAAAGAAGTATTTCTGGAAGTTAACTGAGAAGTTTTTAAAGTAAGGAAAGTGCGTTTCGAGATTAGATTCATTGTGATGTAACTATGTGTCAAACACGATATAATTAGAGATTTCCACCATCTTTGAACTTTGAAATATATATATATATATATATATTGTGAAGTATTTGTATACTATTTTCATCATGATATCAAAAGCTTTAGTCCTTGTTCGTCACTACTCTTCAAAGTGCCCTAGTAGTATTGTTTATTGCATGACTTTCTTATCCTATGCGTTCAAATAGAATATTTAGAACACAAATTAGTATTAGAGAGCCAAAAAGAAGGAATATTTCAAGTTGTAAAGAAACAAAACCACATAGGTTTGATGAAGCTAGTCATGACTATCATCATAATGAAAAGATATGCATATGAGAATTATCAATGTCTATGATCATGCAATAAAAAATATATCAACTAAACTGAATGTTATGTTGTTGATTGTATTAATTATGGATACAAGATGTCTAATATATCATACACAACCTGATAAATAATTAAATTTGTCTCGTAGGTTTCACGAAGATTTTTTTAAAAAAAAAACGTTCCATATGCAAACTTGATTAAAAAAACATTCTAAGTTCTTGTTGTCTATCTTGGCAGGCTTTCACAAAGATGATATAGTCAAAATCCATAGCTTTATCGAACTTCACTGCTATTTTTTTAAAAAGCTCTGTATAACACTGTATATGAAAATATTCCACGTTGTTGCTCTACGGATGATTATTATCTAGTGAGACGACAATCTTGAGTAAATTGATGATGAAAATTACTTAATGAATACTTTGGGTGACGAGACTCAAGGTCGCTATAATTCTATGATTGTATTAATTTTGTAGCATCATAATGGTATTCGATGGCAGGAAATATTATATTGGACCTTCTAATATATAAAGTTCAATATATTATGTAAAGTGGAGAAAAATATCTATAATATTGCTTTGCTTCAGTAAAGAGCCTATGTAGTCACATTAGAGCTTATGTTGTATCTAGATAGAAAATAATATGATCTTCAAATCAACAGATATCTGATTTACAGTATACAATATATATACACAAGTTACATGAATCTTGTTCAGCTTTTTCAAAACAAAGCAAAATAAAACGAGAAGTTCTTATAACCAGAAAGTATCTTGTGATAAACTGAACCTTTCAAATGAAGTATAAGTATGCTTCAATCAAAGTCAAGCTGAAAGCTTAAGAAGTCTTACTCCATGTAAATTCTCTATTCGTTTGTGAAAATGTTCGTATAATACACTATATTATACTATGGTGTGTATTAAAAATGCACACCATAGTCTTAATCTTCATCATGAAAAATATCTCTTTCAAATGATTATAAGCTAAATGTACCTTCCTACATCTAAAATAGTTCTAGATTCTTATGAGTAATGAAGATCTATATTAGTGGACACAGCCAAGTCAAAACCTCATCGCTTATTGATGGTAGTTTGTGGAGCTCAGAAAACCCTAAAGCATGCTTGAGCAGGAGTTCATGAACCTACACACTTGGTATTTCAGTAATGGATGGATGTACTAAATAATATCATATAGTGTGCTGAAATTAGTAGTACATTCGAGTAGATCATATACCTCTAAATCAACGCACGGGAAAAAAGAGGCAAAATAAGCTCTGGTCAAGATTTTAGAAACAAAACACATATGACAATACCATAACACCTTTTGTAGTCATCATATCGTCTGCGCATGTCACTAACGAAATATAATCATATTTGCAATCACAAAATAAAAAAAGTGATGAAAGTGAACAACTATGAAAAACTAAATTATTTGTGTTCTCCACTAAGTTCAATCCTTCAAGTTAAAACTGACGAGGGCGTATTCCTGGCCCATTATTTAAGTCCATTACTTTCCAGCGCTCGCATATTCCTGGCCCAGATAATCTTTTTGTCAAATAATGTGGAGAGTAGTTTTACATACCTTTCTACGTATTTCACATTCTGACAAATCGGATGGTGTTCCACGAGCATATTCGCCAATAATTCCGTTCTGAGATACATTTCGGCTCAGTCAATGGTCGACGAAATTTGCGATGGTGCATTGCAAGCGAGAGACGAAGATGAGAAATTCGGATTGGAGAAAACGCAGGAATTCAGGTTTTGCATCGAATGTCGCGCACAAGTGCACGGAAAGAAAAGTGACATGGAATCCATCGGACAAATATTTCGGTTTGATGCCCCGAGAATTCCTTGGGGAGGAATTTTTGCGCTGTTTTTCAATCATCTCATGGAGCGAGCTTGGCTGACTTACTGATAGCGATGCTTTGTCTGTTCACTGGCCGATGCACGAGACACGGTGAATGTTTTCCCGCACGAAGAGAATCTCGTTATCCTGAAATGCATTTTCTCAATCCGAGTTTCCAACACCTGCACGAGATCTGTGTCTTTGTTGTAGTTCAGCAGCAGCAGCAGCAGTCCTTGACCTGAGACTGACTCTCGAGTCCGACTAATTGTTGTCGTTTGCTGCAGGAAGAAGACTCATCCCGCTGTGCCCTACACCGACACATGGTAGCTTCCTTTTCTGTGTTTCCTGGGAGTCGATTGCATTCTATGTCACCAAGATATATCAGTTTGCTGTCATTTGCTAAATATGAAGATGCAGATTCTTTCATTTGACAGCTTGGACCCAGATGTAAACGCGACCTCGATTTTCATATTGTCGTGGAGGTGCCGGGACATTCTCCGGTGTCAACTTATGCATGTGCACCTTGCTGTCATGATGTTGTCATGTTCCAGGGAAAGGCTGAAATTGTTTCACCATGGATGCTCATGACAATTGTACTGAAAAACCGAAGTATCGCGACGGTCCTGAGGAGGAAAACATGGGCGACACTTGTCTCCCACTTTGTGGCTAAAAGGCCAAAGTCGGAAGCCGCGTTCACCTGAACCCTTCGTGCGCATTGCCCCGTCTTTATTAGGTTAGGCATTCGCCGGCTTCTAAATCGAAACGATACGTAAACACGTCAATGGTTGATGTGGAACATGAGAAACTATACGAGATAATGGAGTTACCATCAGGACACGACTGGCAAGTTCTCTTGCAGTATCAGATGCATTGCAAAAGTCTCTCAATATGCATCCTAACAAGATGGATGCATGTCAAGAGATCTTTCACTTGCATCTGGCGATAGCATTATGCATATACCGATTTTAGTCTCGATTTTAGGTTCGAAAGATGGAAAAAGAGATATACTGGATAGACTTCACAATATGGACCTACTTCGCCGTCCAGAATAGGTCTTGCTGTGTTAATAACTCTTGCACCATATATGAAAGTTAAACCCTGTGAAACAGAGTCGATGGATTTGGATGCTGGAGATAAGCGCTTGGTATTTTGCTCTGAGAGATCAAGTGCTCGACGTGATATTGCAACCATTTACAATTACGCATTGCACACTGATATGAGCAAACGAAACGAGGCACGACATTAACAAATGAGCTGCATGTGAAAGCGTGCAGTGCAATACATGTTCACCGCTCTATCTCATGCCATAGGTTCCCACAAGAAGAGTCGCAAGTGGCACCGAACCGACCTCAGGGGAGTTAAACCCTATACCCATTCATTTCTGAAGCAAGAGCTACGTTCATACACTTATATGTAGACTGGCAATGTCAAGTCGAACTTTCTAATTAGCTATTTTCTTGCCTTTCTAGGCTGATGTAGTGGAAATTACATGGGAGGGGTTTAGAGTATTCCATACAGAAAAAGTCCATTGCTGACTGCAAATGCAAGCGGATAACTTGGTTAAGGACGATAGTATAAGACGTCATGAGGTGACACATCCATGAATATTTACATAATCTTCAGATGACTCTGGAAACTGAGTTGCGATGGAATCCTTGCAGCCGTTCCGGTAGGCCGTGTTTGCTTCTAGCACCTTGGGATGGTTTTAGTGGATGGTCAATGAGCTTGGGAGACACAGAAATTTGGGGTCCGGCCATTCTCGATTTATCTGCAACTTATTCTTCATGCCAACAACATACAATTGTACGCCATATATGACGATTTGTCCATGTAAGCAACATCTGGAGCTGAAGACCGAAGAACCCTCCCAAAAAAAAACTCGAAAAACTGTTTTCTTTGTAAGCTACAAAATCTTCAATGTCTTTCTAGCTCATGGAAGAGGAGATTATGACACTATCCTCTTATTGAAGTGCTGATTCTTTTTGGCAAAATTCAATCTCCTCTTCCCGTGGAGACATTATCGGATGAACCCTCGATCCTACACTGCCCTCTGTCCGTGACGTGCTCATATTCCTCCGGTGCTTGCAAACGTATAAGATGCGAAACTGCGCGTCACACATAAGATCTAGAGGTCGTTGTCAGCATACATATGTAAGAAACATTCAAGCTGGAAGTCAGCAGGTTACGATCAAGTTCAGGATACAGAGTGTGGTATTTCCACATCCTCTCGACGATATACTGTGATCAATAAAATATAGTGATGAGAGTGACGCACTCTGGCTAACATATGGCGATCAGTATACCTGATCACGGGCATTCTCATCTGAGTTACCTGTCCCAAAGTTCAAGCTCATGGCAGTCCATGTGAAGTCATTTCAAATGAAAGAGAACAATTTATTGGCGTTCGTATAGTAGGAAGTTTAATCACTTGAAAAGCTCAGTCCGAATCTCAGGATGACTGAGATGCATTGAATGATATCTTCCTTCTTGAACAGTTTAAAGCTTGAGAATTTGAATGTACATCCAACTCATAAATCATGAATTGGATGCACAATACCGCATCAGTTGGCCAATTCACTTGCGCTTTAATTTTCAATATAATTCTTTCACCCGAGTGTTTTGAAGATGCTTTGACTTCAGAGATTACTTCGATGATGATCTGCTGGTACATCCAATTCAAGTTAAATTTCTAAACAGAGTCAGTGGCTTGAATTTACAGATAGACCACTTATAATTTTAAATCTCCACGAAAAACCTCTGAGATATCAGCATGAGGGCCATGCCAGCCTCGAATGAACGAGCTGAAAAGTTCGATACTTGGATGTCAAGGAATTGGTCTAAACTGCTTACGCGATATACATGTACGCACTTAGAGATATTGGATGACCACTTCCATCATTCTTTTTGTCACATATCTCAGATGTCTGAAGAAAACGACATAGTCGAGAGCTGGGAAGGACATTTTTCACCCGAAGGTTCCAACATCCAGCCAATCTCATGGATTTCGAATTCTAGTCATTACATTGTGCATGTATGGAGCTATCGTTTATTCTTATGAAGAAAGTCGAAGAAGAACTCATCATTATTATGAGCTGCACAAATTTGACATCTCTCACCGCCTGCTCAGCAGCGGACACTGATTGAAATACATGAACTAACACGCGTTGCAAAACATGGTCAGTCAGTTCGTTTCTACAAAAGTATTAAACCATGCAAGTAACTGTTCGAGTTTCGAAATAGTTCTGCTTTTGTCCATTTCGTGTCCTGGATATCGATATACATTGGATCCAGCTCCGATTGGAATCAGTCTTCAATGAATATGTGATATGAAGATCCACTTGCTGGCAGGATATCGGCCTCTGCAATAATCTCTTTCCGCCACAGTCGACTCTTTTGCCTGTATTGAAGCGATTCTGGACAGATATTGCTGGCGATAATGCAACTGGAGTTTCTGGAAATGTGTTCTCTTGCGAGGAAGGTAATGAGCAGAATATTTGAACATATCATTTTTTGTTCCCTCACTGCAAGCTCTCTCTTGACGGAAAATTGAGGAGTATGCCCAAATTGAAAAAGCATAATCGATTATTGCCATCCAATTTGGGAAGTTCTTATTGTTCTCGAAACACAATGTTAATGGCCAAACCTCTCGGCATTTTGATGCCTCGACGCAGGATTAGCGTTTTCCAGACTATCCCATCTACTTCTACAAGCAGATATGATTTTCTCATACGATGCATCGAGCTCCAGTTCTCCTACAATCTCTATCACTATTGTAATGAAATCAAGGACTCAGCTTTGACCTACTCTCTCTCTCAGAAACTATAAACTTATATAAACTCGTTGGACCCGCTTCCTATCGAATCACCTTCTATATATCATATTCGCTTACAGAGGATACAAGTAAATGATAAATGTTTATGGACCTCAAGCCGTTACAACAAATTTCCACATATTAGGGAATTCAATTCATCTGGAATTCAATGTGTGGAAATATCATTCCACACATTCCCTTCATTAGGGAGCATCTATGATTCCAGAATTTCCAAGCCTTCATCCTCGTTGAGTTTGACATTTCCTCTAAAATGTCGTGCAGTGGGCCCGAATGTGAATCCAGAAGCTACGTCTGCAGCACTCATGCATAATACAATTAGCACAAATAGTACCTACTCCATTGTTCCTGTTTGTAAAGGATGAAGATTTTTCTGCAAAATATGTGGCCTTGAATATCAATCTCAATTGCTCCTAGCTAGAATTATCAGGGAGGACGAAGTGTTATGCTCTGTACTGAGAGCTGAGTTTTCAGAAGTAGATTAGAGCTGCCGAAGCTTGACTGAAACCGACTGGATTCTTGTCGAGGAAAGAGAAAATCTTTTGTCTCTTGACAGACATTTGCACCTACAACCTTAGTTTCGCAGGGTCGTCGCGTTCCTTCAACCCGACCTTTGAGTGTCTTCCAACGTGAGCTCTCAAGGCCTCTTCCAAGACATGGGAGGCATATATTCTGGAAAGGAAGAGCCCCTGTCAATGTCTTAAGTCAAAATAAACCGGACTGACCCACCTCTTCAATCTGAAGCCCATGAGCATGCCCAGTCTAATAATATGCCACACTTTCTGCGGATCAGATCCATCTGAACGCTTGGACCTTTTAGCAAGTCGCCAGCAACCGCCAGTCTTGTCTAATCTCGATTGAAAATAAAGGTTTCTAAGTACCTGAAGCGAGGGCGTTCAATCATTACCTGAACTAAAGAACTAATTTGTGACCAAAACATTACATCGACTTCTGCTGCGTGACCCGCGGGTCATACAGCCGATTCAAGACTTGCACAGTCTCGAATTAGGCCTGATAATGATTGTAAGTATGTGAACCCAGTGCATAGAGGACGACCATGTACGACAGCTGACTTCATGTCACACCTGAAATTCGTTTAACGAGTCGCCACTGCAAAGCAAGAAAAGATAACTTCACCTGCTGCAGTCAATGTCTCATGACAAAAACATAGACTAGAAACTCTACTTCATCCGTCAAGATAGTCTGATGATTTACAAAACAAATGCGTTTGTTTGTTCTTCGAAAAGACCTCTGCGTCCAATATATACTGGCCTTCACGAATCAAAGTATCTGATTATAGTAACAAACTATTACCAGTGAGTGCTGCCAGAGGACAACCATAATAGATGCAAATCCTACATACTTTGAGACCAACTCGGATATCTCAAAACTTGGTGATACCCAACCTCCAACCGACCTTGTGATCAGTGACATGTTGGTGCACCCGAAAGGTCAAATGATACCCGAATGGTTTCTCTGACAAAAATATTTTCAGAGCACGTAAGTAAGTTTGGAGCAACCTAGCGTATGTCGACCTGACGACGAATTATGTTGAGGTTTCACTTCAGCTGGTACAGGAGATCATTCCATCGTAGACTTACGAAATTTGAGCTGTTATATGGACTAAGTTCATATTTGTTATGCTTTCAGACACTAACCACTTCGTGTAAGAAGGCAGATATGGTACTGGAGTCCAAAATCATGAAACCTTGGAAATTAACATCTGCAAGACATGGATCCAATTTAGATTTTTAGAGCGACGAGATAATTTTCACAAGCTACGCTGACGCGTCTCTAGCATATGTCAGCTATTACTTCGAAACCTTCAGTTGCCTACTGCTTCGCAAGGAATGGGCCAGAGTCTCAATGAGTCTCAAGACCTTACAGTGCCTATTTTCTGGATCAGATACTAGATCGTGAACTTCTACTTTTTCAGACTTCAGACTGAAGGTGAACTTTTCGTTCATGGACTGAATATTGTGTCAGGTCGTGGTGTGTCCAACTTATAAGCCTACCTGGATCTGTTAAGTTCGATTTAGTTTTTGGCAGTGCGAATTGTTTCACTATCGTGTTGCAAAGCAGATGCATGAATCAGTAGACTTGTTTGATTCATGTCTTGTTGATGATATAGTTAATAAATATCATTGTTAAAGATCAGAGTAAACTGCAAGCTTCTAGAGATCTCTTCAATTTGTTGCTTCGAGGTCATGGCTCTTGATCGTGGTACGCATGCAAGTACAATCAGAGATGAACCTTCGTTGGATCTTGATAAGCGTATAAAAACACAACAGCAATCACCACTTTCTGCCAGGAAAACTCTTCGGCAAATTCATTCCTGGCCAGTCCCATGTCTTTGACTCTGGCAAACAAACCATTGCTTCTCCTCTGTGGACGCAAGTCAACCCTCAAAGTTGTATCACTGCATGGT